GCGTGTGTGTGCAGGTGTCAGTGCTCACAGAGAAGGCTCAAATGGGACTGCAGAGGTGAACTGTGGAGGGGGTGTGTGGAGGAGAGGGGGAGAGAGAGCACGTGTGTGTGTGTGTGTGTGTGTGTGTGTGTGTGTGTGTGTGTGTGTGTGTGTGTGTGTGTGTGTGTGTAGAAGACGTTCATTCACTACTTGGCAGAAGAATTAAGGTCCCTAGCAAAGTGAATACATTTCTCTAAAGGAATCTGGAAAGTCTATTTTCAAAACCTATCCAACTTTAACACCGGTTTTTGGTAATTTTGGACTAATAATTTTCTTCAGATAAATATAGAAATGTCTCAGAAAAAGATGACTCTTACCAAACTGAATTCTGTGAATTTGACTTAATAATTCCAATAAATGACTACTGGAAGTGATGCAAGTCAACATAGAAGATTTGACATCTAGTATGCCCAAATGAAGGGATAGCTGGAACAGAAATCCAGCCCTCTTAACCAAGAGCCCTGGCATGGGATGACATCAGCCCAGAGGATCGCCCTTTTTCTAGTTAGCAAAAACATGCAGTAGCATCTAGCAGCATGCCTAGGGAGAAGCCCTCACAATTAAAACTTGAAGAATGAATAAGACTTTGTCACTAATCCAATTTCAAATGTAACTGGTTCAAAATCACATGAAAGTCAATCATTTAGGCTTAATCTTTAGCCCATAAAAGAGATAATTCACACGAATTCACATGTGCAGTTCAGAGATTATTAGTAAATTTTCTCAAATATTCAGTTCTTACCTGAAGTATTGTGGTATCCTGTGATGTCTAAAGAAGAATAAACAATACTCTGTATTGGTGTTTTCCAGAGAAAGAGAACCAGGAGGACACATACACGTAAGAGGAGGTTGAGGAGATTTATTATGAGGAATTGGCTCATGTGATTATGAAAGCTGAGAAGTCCCATGAGCTGCCTTTGCCAAGTTAGAGACCCAGGAAAGCCAGTAGTGTAATTCAGCTGGAATCCGAAGGTTTGAAAACCAGGGAGGTCAATGATGCAATCCCAGTCTGAGGGCCAGACAAGAAGAGATGTCCCAGCACAATAGTGAGATGGAGAAAAAAAGAGTGAATTCTTCCTTCTGCCTTTTGTTCTACTCAGACCCGCAGCGTCCACCCACATTAGAAAGAAAGTCTGAGTATTTTCAAAACCTATCCAACTTTAACATTGGTTTTTGGTAACTTTGGACAAATTATTTTCTTCAGATGAATACAGAAATGTCTCAGAAAAATGGTTCTTACTGAACTTCTACTTTACTGAGTCTCAAATGCTAATCTCATCCAGAAACATTTTCACAGACACACCCAGAAATCATGTTTAACCTAAGCATGACCAGTCAAGGTGATATATAAAATTAACCATCATATGCCTTGTATTTCATTAATGGCCTTTTCCCCACAGAATTTACATTAACTTACATCTGTCTTTTTTTTTTTTTTTTTTATTCCATGGCATATCTGCCAGGGACCAACCAGGAGACAGAAACCATATCAGTAAATTGAACAAGGAAACTTTAATATAAAGATCGTTAACCAGTAAAAGGTATCTACTAAGAAGGATAGAGTGGACTCTAAGGGATACAGAAGTAGCACCTCTAGGAATAGCTACTAACCTTGGCTGAGGCAGAGTGAACAGCAAGGAAGAACTTAGAAGTTTAGAGGGGGCGTGGCTGCCACAGGAGTGTACATTCCACCTGTATGGGTCACAAGCGAACCATGAGGACTGCCGAGGTGAACATAACCAGTCATCTCCTGTAAATTAATCTACTGGCTCCATGTGAAAAACAGTATACCAAAAGAAAGGAAAGTCCTTTACCTCTTGCTCTAGCCTCACAGTGACTTTCCATCGCCCTCTATTGGCAAAGCCTAACATTTGGCCAGTTGTCAAAGAAGAAATGCCCATAAGGTCCAGCTCTAGAATAACAAAGCAAGGCAGAGGATGGATTTGTAGCTGAGAAGTCATAAGTTAATAACTGGCATAAATAGTAAAAATTTTAAGGACAGAGATTAGGTCTAATTCATATTTATTTTTTCTATAGCATCTAAAGTGTTAAACAGCAGTCACTCAATACATTTTTGCTCAATGATAATATATACAGAATAATTTGTAATAACTTTATTATTCTGCTCTTTTAACTAAAATTTTAGTTAATTTGGACAAATTAGAATGACTTCTAGAATGTCTTTTTCTTTTTAGTATTGCAAAATTAAAACTCAGAGGAGCCAAGGAACATTTTTTGATTTGTGGCATGAGTTTGTTCAAGCAAATATTTTTCTCTGTCTATTCAGGATTCTTTGTTTATAATCTCATGATAAAGAATTAATTAAAAAACTAAAACATTAAAGCACTTTACTGATCCATTATTTGACATAGGAGAATATTGGCAGGAATGGGACATAAGCTGAAGCAGAGCTAGGCCCTAGGCTGAAATGCGAGATAGGCAATGTCAGACTGCAGTTACCCTTTCGCTTCTTTTTTCAATGCCTGTGGCCTATCCCTAGACAACTTAATCTCTCTGTAGGCACCTGGTATCTCCATGGTATCTCCAGATTCTATAAGGCTGTCCATTATAAGCCATCTCTCTTCAGGCTGTGTCCAGCTTCTGAACTCTTATCCATATAAAGTCTTAATCACTTAGTGCTTGCTTCAGCAGCACATATACCAAAATTATAATGATACAAAGAAGATTAGCATGGTAACTGTGCAAGGATGACATATAAAGTCATCAAGTAGTCTATATTTTTATAGTATGCTACCATTTACTTATATAGAAGTGGAGAGAATTACAAAAGTATTTCTTATATTTAAAAACTAGAAGGTTCATAGAATGGGTTACCTATGGGGAACGGAACAAGAATAGAAGCTAGACTTCTTTTAAAATACTTTTTTGTAGATTTGAATTTGGAACCATGCAAACTATTTATAAAAGTAAAATTTAAATTCACTTTTAAATTTAAATTTTATTTTTTAATTAACCTTTCTAAAAATTAAAAATTTTAGCTTTTTAATTTAAAAAAATCCCTAAAAATGGAAAGTAAATGAAACTAATGAATTTAACCGCATCTAGTTGATAGCCTAACTATACAAGACAAATGCAAAGAGTTTCCATAAATGGATTAAAGGACAGCTCCTTGATCACTCTGCTTCATATGCTCTGGTCTCTTTGCTCTTCCTTCAACATGCCAACCATATTCCACCTCACAGAACTGCATTTTTAGTTCCTTTAGTTTAGAACAACTTTCTCATGGATATTTACTTGGCTTACACCTCCAATCATTCAACTCTTTGATTAAGTAGACCCTTGAGAGAGGCCTTCCTGAATCCTTTCCCTATCTTTATATTTCTTCATAGCACTTATTGCTACTTAGCATTATGTATATTTGTTTAGCTCTAACATTAGACTATAAGTCCATGAGGGCAGGAACTTTATTTTATTTATTGCTGTATCCACATAGTTTAGAACATGCTTGGCCTATTAAGAGGCACTCAGTAAATTTTTAGCAATGGGGTTGGAGAAGGAAGGGAGTAACTGTTAACTTTTTTCTTTACACACCTCTGCATTATTTGATACACCATCATAAGCATAAATCACTTAAAAAATTTAAAAACCAATGTTAGGAAAGTTTTAATAATTAACAATAATTGATAAGATTTATTACGTTATTCTCACTATGGTGCTTGCATTAATTAAACAAAAGGGACACATTCTTAAATGTTGAATTTCAGTTCTTGATGATGGACTTGGGTGTACTTTTAGGCAATAAGCCTACTCAATACTTTTCAAATTATATTCAAACTCTAATTGATCTATGGCAAGGCTATCCTTGTTTTAAAGTAGTGTATGTGTGGTTGTATGTGTGTGTGTGTTTGTGTACCTTCTTATCTATATATTGTCTGGAGTTTCTTTTATGTGATAGGAAGATGTTATGTCAATTTCAGCTCTATTTTTTAAGAAAATTAGTTACAAGTATAAGTCCTTATTCTGCTTCAAGAAATAAAATCCATCCGTATTCAGCAGACCCAGATATTTAACTTATGGTTAAAAAATAAGAAATTTTACAACACTAACAAAATATTTATGAGGATTCAAATTTTTCTGTTACTCTAGCCCCAGTGACGTCTTTAAGGGTAATATTCCTAGTCCTAGTGCCATGTTTTTTTATATACATATCTATCTATATCTACATCTGTATCTGTATCTATATAGATCTTACATCAATTTAGGGAATTATAGGGTTTCCATACAGTACTAATGCACCATGATAAACAATGCTTTATTTTCTTTCCACTTTTGGATTATCATGACTTTATGGAGGAATAACATGGTTACACAGCACAAATCACTCTTCCTTGGCTGCCTCTTACATCACTGATTTTAGTCAATTATTCCTTTACAGAGTTAGTTCAGACTTTTCCTTACCTGTCTCTCCTTTCTAAGAATTTCTGAACTATGGACTTTGATACTAAGGTTAATTTCCTATGGCATGTCCCCAAGCCAGGGAACTTGACTTAAAGTAGTGATGGCTGGCTATCTAGTAATTTAAAGGGAAATGTTGTTTTCAGAGGTAAAATGTCAAGGAGAAACATTCTACAAAATGGGGTCTGTAAATGGAAGCCTCAAGATTCATTTAAGCCTCAAGGATTAAATTTAAGTGCTTGCTGAACTTGCCCTTCTTGATTTGAACTGGAGGAGAGCATAAGCAAAACATGCAAGTTTTAAATGTAAAAACTTGTATTTAAACTTGAAGTAGAAAATATGGTCAGACAAACATTCGTGATCAATAACTATAGCAAAGTATATATAGCAAAGGAAAGCAAAGTTCCTAGTAGATAAAGGTTTTAATTTAGAGGGTCCCATTCCCATGTGATGGGAACACAGGAAAGCCACACATGGAAAAGCACTTGTTTTATCTGGTCATATTTTTGCTCAATCTTGTAGAAATCTTACAGGGCTGGTCAATTATTTCAGGAGAATGGCCATATGTTCACGGTAGCCACATGTTATTTAATTGCAAATTCTTTCAGTTGTTCCCGATTGTTTTTTTGGTCAGATTCCATCTGCTTTTCTTGACCATTTAAGGGAGTCCTCTCTACTTGTTCTACCAGAGAACTCCTACCAGCAGAGAGGCACAAACTAATCCCCTACAGAAGTATAGCCTTCGAGGACCAGGGAAAGTTTTCAAAAGGTCCCTGTTCTATTTTATCTTTTAAAAAATCATGCAATATTGATATCATACTTTATTGCAGAGATAGAGATAATTTAAAATACTCTAACTCATCAATTAAATTACTTAATTCTCCCCCTCGTTATTTTTTAATAAACTGATATACCAGAAGCTTGGTCATGTTTTTCTGTGGTTTTGCTCACTTCTTACCCCACCACTGCCTACTACAAGAGTGCAAGGGCCTCTGCTTTAGGCGGGAAGATTTATCAGGTCTTCCTCTTTCTGGCCTGTTCATCCCATGTCCTATGGCTAATAGAGGAAACATTAATATATAACAATATGGACAGCAGGTAGATAATCCATCTTTCTGAACACTCACTAGACCATGGCAGATTATATACAAATTCTTTTTTAAGATCATAACAATTTTAATTTCTTGAGTTAACTTTAATTAAATCCTTCTCTCTCACCCCATTTCCTCACTATCTTTCAACCTCTTGGTTCAAAAAATCCCATTAATGTTTTTTATACTATGTCCTTATGTCTGATCATCATCAGTTAACCTCATTTGATCACATAGCATGTTGATAGTTCTGGGGAATGAACTGGAAGGGGGTGGGAACCAGGTATCTCTGAGGTGTTCAAGTTAAACTAAGGGCCTGAAGTGATAGCTTCTTTCCTCATACAAAGGCTGTGACTTCTTCAGCTAAGTTTTAGAGTTGACTTTTGGTAGAATTATGCCCTTCTCCAAAGATGTCAACGTCCTAATCCTCAGAAACTGTGAATATGTTACCTTATTTGGCAAAAGGGACTTTGCAGATGTGATTAAGTTAAGGATTTTCAGATTAGAGATTATCTTGGATTATCTGGGTGAGCTCAATTTAATCACAAGGATCCTTATACGTGAAAGAGGGAGGCTGGAGAGTCAGAGTCAGAGAAGAAAATTGACGATGTAAGTAGAGTTAGAGTGATGCAGCATCAGAAGGACTCTACTGGCTGTTACTGGATTTGATGATATGGAAGGAGGCCACCAGTTTAGGAATGCAGGCATCCTCTGGAATCTGCGAAGGCAAGGAAATGGATTCTCTCATAGAGCCTCCAGAAGGAGTGCAGCTCAGCCAATACCTTAATTTTATTTCAGACTACCGTCCTCTAAAATTCTAAAATAATAAATTTGTGCTGTTTTAAGTCACCAAGTTTGAAGTAATTTGTTACAGCAGTAGTAGGAAAGTAGTAGTCAAACTCTTGTGTGATTCCAAGCATAAGTCTTTAACTTGGAAGTGCAACTCAAGGAGAAGGGATGGGGCCTTAATTTTAGAATTCAGGCAGCTAGGTTCCCAGTGTTGTATGGGTTGAGTCACACATTACGAATTTTAGTTTAGCAGAAGACCAGGGAGATAAATAGCAGGGGTGTGCTCTGACAAATGATAGCATGATCTCCAAGATCATAGTAAGTATACTAGCCCGCTGACTATATAATAGGACCAGGCCCATCCTGGGCACCCAAAGTTTGAGAGGACAGGAAAAAAGCCAAGTATCCAAGAAACTGGATAGAAATATATCAGAAGAGAAGATTGATATCTCTAGGTAGGTTGCTGAAATGCTCTTGAGCACAAAGCAATCAAACACTTACTGAACCACACTTACTTCTAGAAGAGCTAAAAATATCTTTTCAGGTTTGCCTACAAGTTGCTCTTGGGGTAGAAAACCCTGCAGGAAGAGGGTAGCTAGAGGAGCGTTATCAATGACAGGGCATTGGTCAGGAAAGGAAAAGAGTGAGGCCCAGGAAGTGTGAGATGGTGTCAGTTCAATGATGAGTCGGTTTTACTAAAAGCTTACTGGAGGGTAAAAGTCAAAGACTTCTGGATTCACACTTCTTCATTATTCAGGGGACATATCAGGTGGCACTGGCAGTAAGTCTAGACACATTCTTTTTTTTCTTCCCCCACTGAAAGCACTCTATTAATATCTTACTAGTATTAGTCTACTCTTATTCAGTCTACTGTCTTCATCTCATTTATTTATGCATTCAGTAAGCATTTCATTTATTTATTATATACAATTGTGAGACTGTTTTCCAAAGATATTTCTTTGGTGAAAACTCTAGAATAAAATGTATGTGAACTGATTAAAGCCATTTTTTTGGTCCTCCTATTACTCAGCTATTAAAACCCTCTGGTTTAGCCAAAGTGGTTCACTTTCTATCCTCCAAACAACCTTTGCATAAGAGTCTTTTTGTAACTTTGGCTGCTTTGCTCTGGCAAAGCTCACAGTCTTTGGTTACTTCTAACATATAGCAGCAAGACATGTGCTATCCAAATATATCTGAAGGCTAAAAACAAAATAAATCAAGGGAGTAGGTGGAAAGTTAAGAATAAGAACAAAGTCTTCTTAACTGTCTCTATTTGCTATTGCTGCTGCCAGATTATCTGGGAAAATGGAATTACCCTTGAGATTTGTTAATTCCTTCCCACACTAAGTTCTCCTGCTTCAGAGTTTTTATTGAAATTGGACCTCTAGCTTGCCAAAATATTGACTCTTGGACTACTCATCCCGTGCTTTTATATCCAACCAACTTT